CGGAAATCCGACATTAGCGGATGGCTTTCGTGGCCGCGCCTCCCGCATGCTGGGCTGCTTCTTGATTGGACGTGGTGTGGTGAGCCGCCCGAGCAGCCAGGAAATAGTTGGCCACGTTTGACAAGCGTTTAGCATCTGGCCAAGTTATACCCACTCACAAAAAAACGGGGAGATGCGCCATTCGCGTCACATTTCCAGACGAACCAGAAATGCACTCAATGTGAACCCGGTACAGTGTCGCGTGTCGGGCTTCGCAAATTTTGTCAACTACAGCTTATTTGTAATTTTTTTTTGGGGGGGGGGTTCTATTCTTGATTATTTTCTCTTATTGTGCTCAGGTAAAGCATAAAAATAGAACTTTGGCACCATCACGTCATGTTTTGATGCCAAGGTACTCTGTCAAACCGAAAGGGTGTGTTGCGTTTCGACAAAAGTAGTGCTTTGTTGCAAACTTGTGGCAATGACGAGCCAATTTCAGTGGAAATCCAGCCACTGGATTGGGATGGCAGGGCTCACTGCACCTCGCAGGATGTGGCCGTGGAGCTTTGCGAGGCTGGAAGCGTCACACAATGGCATCCAAGCAACATCTTTGGAGCTTTTAATGGATCAAACCCATCTTGCGCCTTGTGATCTTCATCTTTGTCGTGCAAAAAAAAAAAAATACATCAAAAAAGCGACCAAACTAGTCAACGGGTGGAACATTTTGAGGTGCCCCCCCCCCCCCCCCCCGAAGGGGCCATTTTGGTTTTCCCACTCTCTCCCCCCCCCCCCCCACCCGGAAGGTGCATATTGAGTTTCTCCATCACTTTGACGCAAAACGCCAACACGCCGCGTCGTGAGAGTAGGATGTGTATGCCTCGATTTGCTGATGTGAGGGCTGCTCGGAGGCGTTATCGATGGCTTTTGACAATTGTTGTTCTGAAGACGTGTGCTTGTTTTTAATATTCCATATTTTGGTGTGTGACTTCATTAAAGCAAATGATTGAAAGGTGCAGGCTACGCAAGCATTTTGTTGCAAAGACTCCAAATGTCAACTTTGAAAGAGACGGTGGGCACACCTTCCTCACAGTCGCGGCTTCTAACCTCACACAAGGTACGTTTTCTCCCGGCACTTCACCGCGCATGCGCTTGGATGGAAGTACCGGTACTTTGCTCTCCCTAACCCCTTGTTTTCTCCAGTCAGATGATCCGATTGAATCAAACGGCCGGGAACCCTGACCGTTCAACTAAAACTGTGAAAGCAAGTCGGCAGTGGATTTCAATCGGAAGCAATCGCCAATCCCATCGACGGGGCAGCCTTGGAAAAGCAAACGAGCTAAAAGGACTTGGGCGTGCGTCGATGACGTCAGGCCTGAAATGTGAACGGTCGCATGCTTGACGTCATATTTCCCGCGACGGCAAACGTTGACGTCACAGCGGATTTCTCCGCTCCGTGCGCGAGCACCTGAAATGTGCCGTTCGTGGTTGCGACGGCGGGTTCGGCGGCGCCGCAAATGAAATACAAAGATACCCTCAAAGGAATGCAACGACCAAAACGTCAGCATCAAGTGGCATTCATTGAATTGGTGAGGCGCCAAAAACAGCGGTTTCGAACGTCTCCGAATGCTTGCTTGCTTGGTATTTTTTACAGAGAGACGACAAAACACCAACACTTCCCTATGAGCTGCTAACAAAGACCGGCGCCATTGGAAATAGTCGAGGGGAAAAACGCCGTCCCCGGAAGTTACGTGGAGCACGTGACTGAGCAACACGTCAATCACACGCCCTCAAAAATCGAGCTCCTTCCAATTTCCTTTCGTCCAGTGTTGATTTAGTGGTCGGAAGATCAATCGAAGTAGCAAAGGATGGAGTGAAGTTTGGACTTGGTCCCCGTCACGAGGACAAACTCGAGCGAATGCCTTTAAGAGGCTCCTGTTACCGGAAGTCGGAGGGGCGGGTCTCGCTGAGCCTCACAACGGAGCCCGTCCGCGGGCCCGAGCCGAGCCGAGCCGGGGTGAGCTGAGCTGAGCTGAGCTGTCTCGTCCCGTCCCGTCCCGTCCCGTCCCGTCCTGTCATGGTGTCTCGGCGCGGAAGTGGGACATGGCGTCGCTAGTGGGCTCGAGTGACGTCAACGACGCCGAACTGGACGCGTCCCTTCGTCAGATGCTCAAGGCCATCGCAGACGAACGCAACCGACTCAACGCTCGCCAGGAGATCGGCGGCCTGGGTCAGACTCGCGTTCGATTACGCCGCCTCGTTAATGTCACGCTCGGGCTCGGCACTTTGCCGGGACGTCGCGGCGGGTCACGTGCCTCTGGAAAACGAGCCTCGCGGTGTGCGGCCGTCACGTGACCGAGCAACAGGTCCAAACGCCGTGGCGTCGGCGCGCGGGAGCGACCGACCCGTGTGACGCCATCAGCTCGGCGCCCGAGACGATCGCGCGCACGTGTGGGGGACGCTTGCGGCCGTGGCCGTGAAAGCGTTTGTGAGCGCTTGTGCGGACGTGTCACTCGCGAACGCTACCGACTCGAAGCGTGTGCGTGTGCCGGCATCCTTTATGTCGCGTGAGAGCAAGTGTGCGCACAAATAGGAAGGAATGTGGTTTTGTTTGCGGAAGCCAGAGAGCGTTGGGAGAGAATTTGTGTCCGCTTGCTTGTCAACCGCCCCCCGTCCGTGTGTGTGAAGGCTGCGTAAAGGACGACCGCATCGTGTTCTGGACGTGGATTTTCTCAACGTACTTCATGGAAAAGTGCGCGCCGCGGCAGGACGACATGCTGTTTTACGTGCGCAGGAAGTTGGCCTACGCCGACGCGGACGACGGCGAGTGCAAGAAGGTGAGTGAGCGCGTTTCCCAAAAAGCGCCTCTCCTCCGTTTTTAAAAAGGTATGCATTGATTTCCATCGGTGGACTTTATTGGTGCCACATTTAGGAGGTTGGAATTTCCAGCAAGCCCTCTGACAGGGGACATCATCACTTGGAGGCTTTGACTTTAGATGAGGGAGGAAGACAGCGATGACTGCGATGATGTCATCAGATGTGTTTTGTTCTTTTTGGGTGGGGGCAGCAGGTGGAGGTGGAAGTTTACCGCCGAGACTCCAAGAAGCTTCCGGGCCTCGGAGACCCGGACATTGACTGGGAGGAGAGCGTCTACCTCAACCTTGTCCTGCAGAAGGTTAAGCACACACGCACGCGCACACACACGCATGGCGGGTAGTGACGCGCACGTGTCTTTCAGCTCGACTACGTGGTGACGTGCGCCGTGTGCACGCGTTCGGACGCCGGCGACATCCACGTGCACAAGAAGAAATGTCAGGTGAGCGTCGGCCTTAGCCTGCGTTTGCCCGGTGGGTGCGCTCACTCGCCCGGTGCGCTCATTCCGCTTGGCGCGCCCCGCAGGAAGTGTTTGCGTCTCCCAGCAAGCACGCCATGGACAGCAAAGGCGAGGAGTCAAAGATCAGCTACCCAAATATCTTCTTCATGATTGACAACTTTGATGAGGTAACCACAGCGACCGCTCCGTCCATCGCCCGCGCGTCGATTGAAAGGGGCCGGCGAGCGGTCCCTCGTTTGTCCGCCTGTGCCGACGACCGGTCCGTCGCGCCCGGAAAGGTTCCCCGACGTTGCCGGATGACGAGCCGGTCGTCGTTCGACGAGGTCTGCCGGTGACCGATGTCGGGTTGCCACTAAGTTGTGCGCCTGCCGGGCGAGCCCTGGCGCAGGTGTTCCAGGACATGAGTGTGGGCGAGGGCGAGATGGTGTGCGTGGAGCTGGTGGCCAGTGACAAGTCCAACACCTTCCAGGGCGTCATCTTCCAGGGATCCATTCGCTACGAGGCACTCAGGAAGGTCTACGACAACCGGGTGAGACGCGCTCGCTCGCTCGCTCAGCCCGCCCGCGTCCACGAGCCTCGCGTGGGGCTCATGCGGCAACCGCTCTGGGCGCAGGTGAGCGTGGCGGCGAAGATGGCACAGCGGATGTCGTTTGGCTTCTACAAGTTCAACAACATGGAGTTTGTCCGCATGAAGGGCCCACAGGGCAAAGGTCACGCCGAGATGGCCGTCAGCAGGGTGCCCGACGGAGCGGACGCCCACCACCAGCAGGAGGACCGCCCGCTCGTGCACGACAGGGTGAGTCCCGCTGCATCTTCCGACTTCCTGTACTTCCTCCCTTTTCCCACGTGACTTCCTTGCGCGCGAGCCATCAGGTTGGGTCGGGCATTTGGACCCGACTTTTCACCCGGCACTTTCTGCGTTTGTGGGCGTGATTTCCTCGGCTCGGTTTTGGTTTGCCGCGCGTTTGGTTGCGATTTCCCGCGTTCTCCGGCACCATTTCCTGCCCGCAGGTGACGTCGTTCAGCACGCCGCCGACGCCCGAGAGGAACCGGCCGTCATTCTTCTCGCCGTCGCTCCGGCGCAAGGTCCCGCGGCACAAGATGGCGGAAATGAAGAAATCGCACTCGGCCAACGACAGCGAGGAGTTCTTCCGGGAGGACGACGACCAAGGTAAGCGCCGCGGGCAAAAGTGGTTTTGGCGAGGGCGACTCTTGACTGACGGCTGCGCCGGCGCGTCAGAGCTCCACGGCGCCACCAACCTGCGCTCGCGCTCGCTGTCGGGGACGGGTCGCTCGCTGGTGGGATCGTGGCTCAAGCTCAACCGCGCCGACGACTACTTTCTGCTCTTCTCCCACCTGACCTATGTCACGCTGCCGCTGCACCGCATCACCGCCGGTGAGCCTTCGTCGCGCGAGACCTCTGCCGTAAAAGCGTCGGCGGGCGGGGAGTCGGGAACGAGCGCACGAGGCGCTCGCAAATGACTCGCTGTCGTCGTTCTTCTTTTCGTATGCGTCAGACATCTTGGAGGTGCGTCAGAAGCCCATCTTGATGACGTAGCGGCGGCGCGGGTGCCTCGCTAGCAAGTGCCTCCCCGCATCCGGCCGTCGGGCGCCCCCTCCCCCCCGGGGCCCGTGCGTCAGAGCTCCGCGCCCGGGCCGGACCGACGATCGCGACCAGCCGTCCGACAAGTGCCTCCTCTTCCGACTTCTCTTCCTCTTCACGCTCATCCCCAGCAAAAAACTCAGGAAGTGAGGTCACAGGCGTCCAGATGGTTGTCTCGGAGAACGACGGCAGATGTTAGAAGGGACGTCACTTGACAGGAATCGACATGCTGGAAGTTGGTGCGGCCAAGGCACCGGCGGGTGGGGGGGTGTCCGAGCCGCCCTTCTCCACCGGAGGCTCCAAAAGGGAAGGAGACGCTTCCCGGAAGGCACACGTTGCCCCCGACGACATCGACTTGACTTTTATCACCGACAAGACTCGCGCGTCACCCAAGCGCCGCTCTGGATGTTGTGCTACACACCGTGGCGCCCTTCACGTCTGTCACGCGCAAAGACAACAGAATTAAAGCAGAGACAAAAACTTCTTATCTCCATTTATTCCCAACAGGTGTCTGGGGGAAGGGGCGGGGGCGCTGCCAAGGCCACTTTGGGGAGAAAAAAAAACAACCAAACAAGTCTGTCAGAGTCCACGTTGAAGAGAAGAGGGGGAAAAAAAAAAGTCGCTCCTTGTGGGTCAGCTCAGCAGGAAAATAAAAGAGGGCAAGTCAAAGGTGGAATAACCGCTGGAGGCCACGTCGCAGCTCAACGTCTGCCAAAAGCCAACAAGTGTCTGTCTGTCTGTCTCGTGTCTGCCTCAGCCCTTCCTCTCTTCCAGAGTGCGGTGCAGCTGGTCGGCGTCGTCGGCGGTCTTGACGCGGAGGAGGAGGGGCACGGGGGCGCCCGGGTTCTGAGCGTCGACGGGCGGGTTGGGCACGCACATCACCACCACGTTGTTCTTGCCGGCGCGCGAGCACTTCATGTCGGCCGACAGCAGGATGTTGAGGAGGATGTTTCCTGCGGCACACGGGACGCCCGGCGTGAGAGCGCCGTCTCGCCCGCCAGGTCGGTGTCGCGCCCTTACCCAGATTGGTGTCGGCCCTGATGATCATCTGCGTTTTGCCGCCCGCCGCGTGTTTGAGGTGCAGCGTGCCCACGCCTTTCTCCTTGTACTCGTCGTCCTTCCTGTAGAAGAGCTTACACCTGCCAAACGCACAGCCGTCGCCGTTAGCCCAGCGCGGCTCGAGAGCCGCGACCGATCCCAGCCTACTTTTTGGAGTAGAAGGCGTCGTCCTCCTTAATCTCTCTGACGTCGGGTTGGGGCGGCTCGTACGCCTCGTCGCCGGCGGTCTCCTCTGCGCAAACGACAATCGACGGCGCGTCAGAAATGCCTTGCCAAAAACCCACCCTCCGAGACCTACTTGCCGGCGGGCCTACCTGAAGTTGCCGGGCGGTCCGCCTTGGCCAAGGATGGCGACGCGCTTGCGATCAAGGAAAACGTTGCCGTGGCGGTCTTCTGGACCGAGCCGTCCGCCTTCTGACCGAAGTTGAACGTGGCGGCGGGCGACCCGTCCGCCTTGCCCTTGAAGGAAAAGGCAGCGGGAAGCGAGGCTTTGTCTTCGGTGGCCGCCGTCGCGCCGTACTGCCGCTCGATGGCGGCCAAGTGGCGCTCGTAGTCGCGGAAGATGGGCTGCAGGTCGCACAGCGGGTTGTCATCCACGTGTTTGCTGATCCAGTCGCGGACGGAACAGTTGAGAGCCGTCAGCTGCCGGGTGTACTCCTTGCCGGCGGAGGAGGCGGAGCCGTTGAATGTCAGCCCTGAGAAAACAAAGTTTTCGTCAGCCGGGACTCTCGACAGGAAACCAATCCGTACCGGGCTGACATCACCGCTGACTCACCAGGTGCACTCGTGGCCACGGGCGGCGGCAAGACGGCGCCGGCGCTCCCGTTCGTCAGCGCGCTCAAGCCTCGCGGGCCGGCGCCATTGCCGAAGGTTGAGAAGGACGACGGCGCAAAGGAAGCGCTCATCGAGAAACCTTTGAACCCTTTGAAGGCCCCGCCGCCAGCCTCACCCTGAATCAACACGTCAAGATGCTGAGGTTGACGATGGGGGTGACGGCGACGGCAACGTCATCCGTTTTACCTCAGCGGCAACGTTCCGCCGCTTGGCCTTCTTGATGGCGCGGTTTTTCATCACGTCTTCCGTGGCCACGGAGAAGGTACCGGCCTGGGGAGACAAACGTTCCTGAGACTCGAGCTCATCCTACAGTGATGCGGATGCAGAGCCACGTGGGCTAAATCTGACGTCACCTCCTCGCCCTCTTCCTCCTGGTCCCAGTTCCGGTCCGTCAGTTCTTTGTCCGCGATCCGCTTCGCCATCGCACCTGCGTCTTATATATACTGCACACACACGCAGACGCGCGCGCCTCGTTAGTCGACTTGCAGGCGGCAAACACCCACGCGTTTGTCCGGACGCCCGCATTCGTATCGAGACAGAGAAGGGAAGCAAATCAAATGTGGCCCAAGTCACGTGATCACGAGACGTAGCCGGGCGAGGGCGAGCGCGCGGTCGAGACGGCGAGAAAGGTCAAGTGCAGCGCGTCGAGACAAGTCGGGTTGCGAGGGCTCTGACGTGTCGCCAAAGCGGACAGGCGTCCCGTTCGAGCGAGCTCGCTCGGGAGCTAACGTTAGCATCGGGCGGCTAACTGGTCCCCGGTCGGAGGGATTTCCTGGTACCTTGGGTGCCGGCTCGAGTCCAAAGTGTGCGCGCGAAGGAAGAAGAGGTCAGGCCGGGGAAGCTTTCACGGGTTACGCGTGACGTCAGGTGGCATCACAAGAAGCACGGCGGCGATTTGAACGAGCTTCTCTCAAACCGCCATTTCGCGTAGCAACACAACCGCGTGAATTTGCCGCCCGGGTACATTTGTGCGCATGCGCGGTTGCTCGGGCATTCTGGGACGTGGAGTTTCTCCGCCCGCGCTCCCGCTCCGGCACTTCGGACGCGAAAACCTCGGCGTGCGCGTCGCTGTGGGGCGAAGGGAAAATGACGTCGCGACGGAACCGGCAGACTTTGACGCGAAATTCTTTCCTGTGTCCAGCTGGTGGCGACACTGAACGGATGATGTGAAGCAAGACGGGACGGGGAGTGCTCGGATCGGTTCCTTTGGGCTTTCAGCTTGGATGATTAGTCGATTTTGTGGTTGGCTTTTGAGTTTGGATTCAAACATAGCGATGGCATCAAGTCGACAAAGTGGACCTGTGGAAAAGGCGGTGTAAGAATAGTTTTACAAAATCCTCCACGCGCAATACAAACACACAAACTCCTTAAAAACGTCAACGTATGTCGACACTTTTTTAAGTGTTCGTTCGTGCCCGTTTTCACGGTCTTCCTCGCACAAAACAAGAAACCGCCCGTGCTTGCTTCAAGCTGCTCTTAATGCGAACCTATCACGCTAAATTCCTTTGAGGGGCTGTCGGGAATTAGGATCGAGATTGAGCTCCATTATTTGCTCTTTTTGTTCTCAGGCCAAGCAACGCCATGAGTAAGATGAAATGATTCCGACGTCTCCAGCTTGGTGCCGTTCAACAATGGAAAGTGAGGTGAGAAGCCACCTATTCAAAATCGCATACTCAAGTTTCAATTCTGTGGTTTTATTGTTCTTGTTCCTGATTGTAAAGTGTCCTTGAGTGTTTTGAAAGGCGCTTACAAATAAAATGAATTATTATTATTATGAGGCACTGAGCAACATGCATAGTAAGAGAAAACATTCTTATATTTTTGTTTGTGGACTTGGTTGAACTGAGAGTTTGTGTGTGTGTGTGAGACAGTGCACACAATATTCATTGTTGAAAATGACTAACCTGTGGTTTTCGGACTGTAGGTCATTATTATGTTGGTGTGTGACATTTTCAATAAATGTGGCTGAGCAGAGGTAGGTGTGTGTGTGAGTGAGTGAGTGAAGCGGTGATGCTTATGTGTGACCATGTGTGTGATGTGCCTCTTTGCAGTAACACAGTAAAAAAAAAAAAAAATTGGCTCTGAGTCTTACTGGTTGGCCCGCCCTGCTTTCCGCTCTTTCCATTTTCGCTTCCAACAATGCAACTATTTGCATTAGTTTCTCGATACTTTTATGACAACTTTCATGAGTTACAGTACTTTGTCAAAGTGAATTTCACTAGTAACTGCATACTCCTGCCTGTTTTCCACTCCTAACAATCCACCAATTTTCGTAACCTTACCATGTACTTGTAAGAGAAGCAAACCACCTTCACCTGTAAGTTTTTTTAATAGCATTTTATACCCCTCAACACTACAGCTGTTTTCAGTCAGATACTTTTACAACTACTTTCAATACCAACAAGACCTTACCAAATTGTTTTCACTCGGAACAGAACCATTTTCACTCCCACATAAGTGATTTGACTACTACTGTACTTTTACTCCAATTTAAAATGCCACCGTTTTCACTCGTAAGAATAAAGGCATACTACCTACGACACTCACATTATACTTGTAATGCACGTCCAAAATAAAGTTTAAAATTAAAACAAAGAGAAATACAAGGATTTGACCAAGTATTGAACGAGTAAAATAAACAGTGTTTTGTGCTTCACTGTGGTGTGTGTACTCGACGTAAAGTTTTGTTTATTTTAATGCTTGTTTGGGGGGAAGAAGAAAAAAAACAAGATGATGATGATGATGATAATGCGTACGAGTACGTGTTCGATGCCCGGTTGCAAGCGCAGCAAGCCTTTCGTTGCTCCTGCACCGAATGCGCATGCGCATTTCGCGGGTAGGGGCGGGCCGCTCCGTGTGCTTCATCCGGGTACCGGAGAGTCACCATTGACAGCCGAAGCACAACTTTTCCCCAGGCAAAGTGAAATCAAGCCGCGGACTCGGACACAATCTAGTCCCCGCTTTTCAACTTAAATTAGTAGGAGGAAGGCGCGGCGGCCCCCCTAGTAGCAGTCCGGGTCACTCGGCCGAGCCCCGGAGGGTAGCCATCCGGCGCTCGACGCCTTTGTGGCGGCTTCCGAGCACTTTGGGAGACGGGCGGAAAGTCGGTGATGAGTCCCGGGCTGCAAAAGAACAAGCGACAACTTGCTCTCCGAGCCGACTAGTTCTTTGGCTTCTTATTGTCGCTGGAAAATTGGACCCAAAGTTGGCGTTGCTCGCGTCCAAAGTGGGAGTAAAGTGCTTTTGTGCACGGAACATGGAGGTACAAGGCCTGCAAGAGGCTCTCAAAGTGGAAATCCAATGTCATCAGGTAAGCAGCAGCGCCTCCGCCGCCGCCGCGTTGGTGTTTTTCATTCTTGTCGAGGAGGTGAAAGGCAACGTCGCCATCGTCGGTCGTTCGCTCACTTGGGCCAACATTTCCTGCTGCTGTTCGGCCTCGTCCCGCTCGTCCGGCGTTTGTTTACGGTCGACGAGCGAGAAGAAGCCCAGCTAATGCGGCGTTGTGTTCGGACGCGAGCTGAATATTTATGAGGGACAAGAAACATCCATGGCCGCTTTGTTCCTCTCGCACTCAACAACTTGAGACACTTTTCTCGCAACTACTTGTGTGAGCATGCACATGCACAGCCCGGAGCTGAACACCCCCCCCCCCAACAGGCCAGAGTTTAGTTGTGTGTGTGTGTGTGTGTGTGTGTGAGAGAGGGGGGGGGAGAGCGAGACAAACTTTATTTCTCCGCTAATGTTTTGGACTGTGCTCGCGCCGCTAGGCTTGGCTGCTTAAGGCTAATAACATAAGCGTGGAGTCGTATCAAGGTTGATGTGCTTTTCATGTCAGCTGCTGCTGTTTTGTGTGGCTTGTGCTGTCGAACTTGCTGACAATTATGAGCGTCCATTTTGAGCTTGACGACGCGTTTGTTGAGTCCGGGCGGCGACCCAACTCACTAGCCGCTCGGCTAACTCCAACGCCGAGGACTTTTACAGTGCGAAGTTGACGTGAACGGCGGCCTCGCAAAACTGCGTTTAGACGTCTTTTTCGTCCCCCATTTTGTTGCGAGTTTGCACTTAGTCCGCTGGTATGATAGCTTCTCGGTCACGTGACGCCAGCGCCGGCTTTTGATTGGCTCACGGCGACGCTTTCACTTGATTCACTCTCGATGGCGGCCCGACGGCGCGCCTCCTTGTTTTCCTTGTACTCCGGCGTCGGTACGACCGGCCGCGTTTGCTGGCTGTCGGCAGGCGCCGGGGCGAGGGAGGGGGTGTCGGCGGCGGCCGGGTTCAGCACCGTGGCCAGTTCCCCGCCCGCAGCGCACCGCCCAGCTGCCGCCTCCGCCCGCACCGCCCCTCCGGAAGGCGCCGAGCCAAGAACGACGCACACAGGTTGTGTGTTTTCGGGGCTCGTGTGGAGCAGGACTGGGGGAAAAAAGAAAGGGTCGATATGTTTTTTTTTTACTCGAGCTGCCCGATCGAATCGATCCACTTTGGCTGTGGAATGTCGCTCCTCCGAGCACTCGTTCAAGTGGCGCTTTTCGCTCAAAGGAGGAGACGTGCTCCCTCCCGCCCCCTCTTTCTGTGGGCCTCACTTTGGTCGTGGAAGCGTCCATTTTGTGACTGAAGGGGTGCTCTCCCCCTCCCCCCAACATGGAGAGCAAAAAGTCTGCAGAGTTTTGCAGAAGAAGGGGGGGGGGGATGGGGCCCATTCATGGTGAACATTACCATTTTGATTGCTTTGATGCTGTTTTGGGTGGCGAGGGGGTGGAGGACAGAGGAAGGGGGAGGGGTGGCAGCCGCAGAATGCCCACTCAGCACTGCGCACACATGCTGGCTTTCGGGGTTTTTTGTTTGTTTGTTTGTTTGTTTTCCCCGCTTTGGCAACCAAGATGGCACCTTTGCTTGGCACACTTGCCGTCTTGGAAAAGGCAATCACATTTCCTCTGAGAAGTGGTGACCATCTTCATGTGATGTTTGCCCTTCTTCTGCGCCCCTGTCACACTTGGGACAAACTATAGGTTGTGTCCATGCCGCTAATGGATTACAACAGACGACCCGCCTGAACTCAAGAAGATCGTATGCAGTGTCATTGAGCGCTCTGTTTTTTTCTTTCTGGAATTTGAATAGGACTTGACAAGCTCAGTTTGACTTTTTTTTTTTTTTTGAGCAAATTTGAAACATTGAAACCGTCCAACCGTCCGGCCAACCAGATGCTCAAATGCCGACCCACTTGGAGAGTCAATACAGTATTTTGTCCTGATTGATCTCCTCCCGGCTGACGTACGGGGGCACGCCGGAGCATTTCCCGTTGAGCCGCGTACGTTGTACATCCGTTTGTCTCCTTTTCTACGTCGATCGCCTACTGTTGGCTCTTGCGAGCCGGATACGCAGTCGTAGTCCCGCGACCTCTGTGAAGTATCCCAAGCACATCCTTGCCACCGTTAGCTCGGCAATTAACATGGCTCCCCCAGCCCCGTCGTTCCTCGGTGAGAGCGCTACTATCAGAAACGGAGCCGACTCGCCGACATGGAGGCCACTCGAAACTCGCCGTGGCTAACCGCTGCGGCCGCATCTCGCCTCGGTTACGGGTCGCCTACGCGGCCCGGCAAAGTTTTTGGGGACGTCGCTGACGTTCACTCATTTGAAAATGAAATAGCGGTCGATTCTCAGTTTGCTTTTTCTGCGGTGATCGGGGACCACCGTAGACAAGCGACAAGGCAGAATGGTCTTTGCGACAGAGGTTGCCGGCGCGACCTCACGCAAGCGTAGCCCGCTGCGAACGTGGCGCCTAGAGGTCAAAAGTGAAAGGTGACGCTCACAATGCGGCATTTTTAACATGCGGCGCAGGCCGCCGTTGCCAAGGAAACAACCCTTGATTCTGAGAGCGGCACGTTGGAGGGCGACAAAGAGGTTGCGCTCGGGGTTGTCACCGGGCTCGTTCGGGGCCAATTTTGTGGCGGTGGCCAGACGGTTGCGCGGCGCGCGCTGAGCGTCAGCGACGTTGGCATCTCGATGCCAGAATCCGACGCTGTGCAAAGGCCTGAATGAACTTGGGAGCGGACAGGTAGGCGGCGGCCTCGCACTCCTCATCTGTTCTCCGTCCCCTTCATTTTGGGGGCGTTTCCACAAAAACCCAATTGGGATTTGTTGAATTTCTCTTGAGACTCAACAAGCCCTCAGTCTTGCCTGGAGTTTCATTTGTTCTGCGCCGCATTCGTAACCCCGATTTGAAAGCGTCTTTCCCCGTTCAAATGAATGCGAGTGCCGTGGATCCATTCCAGAACACAAAAACAAAGGAAACGTGTGGAATGTGGCCTTGGCACACGCTCAGATACGATTCTCTGAGGAGAAAGAATACTGCCCATGAATGCGAACCAACACTGTGATTTTTGCGTGAACCTTTGTGTTCCGCCTGTTGATGAAATGGTGTCGCGGGGCAATCCAGATGCTAATTATGCTCGTGGCGCGAGAGGCAAATCTGGCTCTTTTCGCCACGCAGCCTCACTTTTATGACCGTCGAGGTGTCGACGTTCGTCAATTGTCATTTGAATCGACGACTATGGTAAAAGTAGTTTGGGGCCATTGTTGAACTTGCAGTCATGCGATCCTCGGTCCTCTGCCCCCGGGGGCCGCAGATCCTTCTCCCGTCTGTCAACGCAAGACCGCGATGACTCCGCTTGAAGAAATCTTAATTGGCAAAGACTCACTTTCTATGATGTCATCACTGCTCCGCATTTCCATCATGTCATCGGCTGCGGTCGAGCGTGCGCTTGCGATTCCCCCCCCAGCCCCCG